GCATAGAGAATAGACTTGAGTGGATACTTAAGGCCTTTTCCTAGCCGGTTATGTTTAAGTTAAATCAATAAACACATTTTAATGTCTTAATTATGAAAACAAAACATGCAGAAATCTGTGATCTACACTATCATTTGGAAATAAACTGAAAAATCCTATTAGGTTAGAATTAAGTGGAAAATAGTTTCCTCTTCTGGGGATTTTTAATTTATTCAGAATATTTATATAATTGCCTGCTAGTGAATCTTTTGAGATTACTTTACTGGAGAAGTTTTTTTTTTAACTCCAAACACATTTTTCTTGAGGACAAGGGGGTCCTGTTACTCATTTCAGCATGGAAGGAATTTTTCTTTCTGCTTACCCTTCCCCTTTCCTCTCTTCCTGGGTGAGCCCACTGTCAGTTTAATGCAGGCTCCGAAGCATGTGGCTTGGGCTGAAGTTAGTTCAGCCTCAAGTGCATAGGAAGACCATTAAACCTAGGTGGGGAATTAAAGAGCTTTGCTAACTCAGAAAATGAAGCACCTCTGAATGTCTAGTACACCTTGTTCTCTGTCAGAAGATACAAAGGCCATGCAGCTGAGTTGCCAAAACCGATCATTTGTGATATTTTTGAAATCCTTCACTACTTTTGTGATCCTCGCTCCTATCTTTTCATCTCATCCCAATTCAAGAAAATGTGTCTCTTTTAGACAAACATCAAATTGAATATTTCAGGGCCGTTCCCCTAGGTTATTAAATGCCCTTAGTGCCTTAGCTCAAAGTAATAATGAAGCCCCGTTGTAAATAAAATGATTGCTCAGATCTATACCCACAGAATGTCCGACAAAACCAGCTTTGTGTTTGAGATCTGAGATGAAAAGTGCTTTTAGATGGATCCTGATCAATAAGGACATAATAACAGCAAACTGCTCTCAGAGCATCCCCCCCCCCACTGGACAGATACAGAAATGGATAAAGCATTGCAAATAAAAAGTAAACCTCAGCCCAAGAACAGGACTTTTTTTAAAAGGTAGACCAGTGATAAAACTAAAGCCAAGAGGCATTATTTATATCAAGTTTGCATATACAATAGTAGTATCATGTTCTGAGATCCTTTAGTTTCCTGACTTATGTGCATACGATTGGTGCCCTACAATGTTTTAAATAAACAAAACATTAGTTTCCATAGCAAAAAGATCTTAAGTTCGTAAATGAAATATTGTTGGGTGCACTGATTTGTCTGAGCTTCAAGCCCAAAGGGCAGGTTGTTCTACTTTTGGCACACCTATGAGTACGTAGGTTTCCAGATTGGGCCAGAGGGAGAATAATGAGCTAATGCAATTATTAAAGTGATCTCTCCTCCGTACTTCCCAAGGCACTTTCCCTGCAAAGCCAGGTGACACGGTCTTTACAATTTATATGAGTAGTGACTCCCCTGCAACCTCTCTCCAGCACCTCATCTTTCTGGGGGTGGGAGGGGTCTGCTTCCTTAGACCTCGCTAGGAAACCAGGGTCACGCTGGTCTACTGTGTCCAGTCAACACAGAGATGGAACAGAGCGAGTTATTCTCCAAATCTCCAGATTTCTGCTGAGACTCAGAAAGAGGTGATCTCCTGGGAGGGGGAAGGAAGACTATAAATATGTAAGGAGCAAACGAAAGGAAGAAAATGGCATGGGAGTGGAGTGAGAGATCTTCTGAAAGAAAAGAGAAGGAAAGCCACGCAGTGGACTTTCACGCTCCGAGGTGGACTCACACCCCAAGGGCCAGCCCGCTTCGTCTGACCTGTAACTCTGAGCTTGAGAAACCTTTGCCGTTTGCGCGCTGTTCCTCTAGGACACTGGGTGGCGCTCGTGGTAAACACTTGCACCTCTTTTAAGGTCCGTTTTCGCATCAACGTGCACCCAACCCGCGCCCTTGCAAATTTCGGCTACTAGAAGAAATTACTCACTTTCTTCCTACGTGTCGCAGTGGGGAGCGCACTTCTGGAGAAGTTTGATGTCGTGGGGTAGTTCCACGGCTGAGCCCGTCGGTGGGTTTTGAGAGAGGCAGCAGCTTCGGTCACGGGCCTTAAGACAAAGTTCCAGGCCTTGGCATCAGAACCACCACAGCACCAGCAAAATTTACCACCTTGAGAGCGCGTGCGCCTAGAGCGGGGTCGGCAGCAGCGGCCAGGCCGGGCTGCGGCAGTGGGCAGAGCCCCAGTGGCTATAACGTGAGATGAAACGGGACTGTGTTGTGATAAGATTCCAGCTCTTTTAAGCTTAGCACTCTCCTTTAAGGAAACGGTAGGGGAAAGTGGGATCGACTTAGTAAAGAAGTAAACAGGGAAAAAGTCGAGGCTCTGGACCTTCAGAGACACCCCCGGACTGGGAAGTTCCACCCAGCAGCGTGCGGCCTCCGCACAAGGGGCTGGAGTCTGGCTTGAGGGCCAACACTAGGAACCAAAACAAAGAAACTGACCAAATCTTCCCCTTCTGCCCCGCTCTTTTTTGTCCTGTGCAAAATGTGGGAGAGAGTATCTTTTTCTGACGGAGGGCAAATTGAAATTTAGCAAAGTCGAGACTAACGGAACGTTGTCACGCTGTGTTCTCTGCCAGACCCCAAACTTCTGAATTTTGCCCAAAGTCTGCAGCTTTCAGTCCCACCCTGGCTGGAATCTGCCTTCTCATCAAGGTCTAAAAACATTGCTAGAACTCCCTCGTGAACATCACCTTACTGACCTTATTTCTCTTCACATAGTCACTTTTAAATCTGTAAGAAATAAAAAGTGCTGGGAGTGAGGGCACCCGCGGAAAGCCACCCGGTTTCCCTTGCCACTGGCCTTTGATAGGAGCTGCTTTGAACCCTTCCTGGCATTGCTTTGGGGGTGCGATTGGTGTAATTAAACAGCGGGGATGTGCTTAAGGTGACTCTGTGGGCTCTGAGAACTTTGCCAGAGCAGAAGCCAGGACTGCAAGCCGGAAGAGGCTGGCAGTGTTTCCTGACGTCCTGTAGCTCTAGATCAAGGGGGTGAACAGCAGTGTCAAAAGTGACAGCGTGAGGTTAAGGATGACAGCTGAGGTTTTCCCCGGGTCAGTCTCAGAGAAGGTAAGGGCCACTCGGGCCTCAAGCAGAAGACTGTCAGGTAGAGGAGGGCACTGAGAGACCCTGAGCATACCACACCGCTTCCTTGCCCTGTGTGCACCCCTGCTGAAGTTGTCCCCAAAGGCAATGTGACAATAGCTGTGGTTTTACAGAGCCCAGACAGCAGAGACAGGGAGCTGTGCACATGTGGCCGCTCTCTACAGGCTTTGATGTTCTGGAGCTAGGCTGGCACCCTGCCCCAAGGGCCAGATCCCCAGCTCTCCCTGCTGGCCTATTTGGGGCCAGAGTAGCTCCACAGCCAGAGGAAGGGTAAGGCTAACCTAACACTAGACACAACTAATGTAGACTCCCCCTCTCTCAGTTGGGGTGGAGGGAATGATGAGAGGCCAGACGGTCCTAGCCAGGATGTTTGGTGGAGCTCCCAGGTTCCTGGTCTCAGACACTCTGGAAGAAGATGCTGAAAAGGTCCAAATCAAGATCCAGCTCCTGGAGTTGCTGATGTTAGGAGAGTAATAATGGGGAGCAGTAGGTTGACTTATGTTAAATTTCTACACTCCCAACTGGATCACCACTAGAGCAAGAGGGACAGACACATTGTGAAAGCAGGCTCTGGACCACAAACACCCAGTGTTTGGTTCCTGAGCCTTTTGTCCCTTTGCATGGGAGCTTTAAGGCAGGAAATAAAAGGATGTAAGGTACAGGACCGCAGACCTGGGAAATGTAAGGGCAGGCCCTGGCATGCCATGTCCATAACGCTGGGAGGGGGAAATCCATGGGCTTCACCCAACGTCCCAAAGGGCTTTCCTCCCTGTATGCTTCCCTGTCTTCTTGGGATTCCCATGCCGTCTGTTGGAGTGACAGGTCAAATGGGAACCACTCACTTTTGCAGAAGTCTTTGGCTACTGAACACAGCTACAGACCCTCTATTCCAATGGCATCCAAAGAGATGAGGACACTGCCCACTCTTCTTTGGGGCCAGCAGTTTGGGTGTCATTAAGTTATTTATGCTTAAGACAGTAATATTTTAAATTCATTGTAAGGATTCAGGGTTGCAGGAACTGTCTTTGCCATTACCTGCTGAATGAACAGCATGCATTCTGGAGCATTCTTAATCCAGCCCTTTTCTGAGAAATACTCATCTCACACAAAGGAAGTGCTTGTGGCAAATTTGTCTCTTTCCCCAAATTGCAAATTTTCAACACATGTAAATCACAACTTGATTCCCAGCACCCCAATAAAAATAGTGTTCTCAGTTCCTTCTCGCCATCAGTCCACATCCCTGATTCCCTGTTTCAATATCGCTGTTCAATTCCACATTCGCCCTTGGTGAATGAAGCCCACAGGGGCGGGGAGGTGGGGAGCAAGGAGGGATGGTCGGGGACTTCACCTCCCAAAACATGTGTCTTTCCAAGGCTGCTGATTAAAACACATTGTCTCCAAACATTGCAAAGCTGGTGTTAGGGCTTCTGCGTTTTCTTTGGTATTCACTGAAAACAGACTAACTTGGACCTCCTCCCTGTTCCCCAACAAGGAACAACACGCGCGCGTACACACACACACACACACACACACACACACACTTCCCCCTCCCTTCATTTTTTTCTCCCTCTTTTTTTTTTTTTTTTAAAGCAATGCTTTGTTGTGTTAAAACTAGTTGGACGAGTTAGGGTGTTGCTGCTGCTCTGGAGGCCCTGGCCAATGGAACCCGATCCACCCCGCTGTGCGTAAGCGCGCAATTAAGGATTTAACCAAGGCTGTGCTGCGCCTCAGTCAGCAGTCAGCCTGCCGGAGACCGAGCCTCCAAGACTCCCAGCCTCCTCCTCGCCGCCGCCGCCTCCTCCTCCTTCTCTCCTCCTCCTCCTCTTCCTCCTCCTCCCTCGCTCCCACAGCCATGTCTGCTTAGACCAGAGCAGCTCCGCAGCCAACTCGGGCAGCAGTCGCCGCCACAAGAGCAAGGACAGCCACTGCCGCCTGGGAGCGATGACAGGAGTGTTTGACAGAAGGGTTCCCAGCATCCGATCCGGTGACTTCCAAGCTCCTTTCCAGACGTCCGCAGCCATGCACCATCCGTCTCAGGAATCGCCAACTTTGCCCGAGTCGTCGGCCACCGATTCCGACTACTACAGCCCCACAGGGGCAGCCCCTCATGGCTACTGCTCTCCTACCTCGGCTTCCTATGGCAAAGCGCTCAACCCCTACCAGTACCAGTACCATGGCGTGAACGGCTCTGCCGGCAGTTACCCCGCCAAAGCTTACGCCGACTACAGCTACGCCAGCCCCTACCACCAGTACGGCGGAGCCTACAACCGCGTCCCGAACGCCACCAGCCAGCCAGGTACCCGGGTGGAAGCCAGATGCGGGGGGAGCCGGGGTTCTGGAGCGGCGAGGTGGGGTGGGAGATCGGGGCCCCGCATCCACTGCAATGGGGGTACATCTGGCAGAAGGGAGTGGAGGCCTGGACTCTACAACCAGGAGAGGTTCCGGGGCCAGCACTTCAGGACTTCTCAGTAAGAAGCCTTCGGGGAGTTCAGATCAGTGTCTCTTCCCTCCAGCATTTGGGGGGAGGGGGGTTAGGGGACTCTGCCTCCAAATTCCCAGTTTACCTGGTAAGGAAGCCAGCTAGGTTGGAAAAGCGGGTAGGGGTGGGGAGAAGAAAGAATCTAGCAGCCCTAGTGGCGTTTGCGTAATAAAGGGGAGACTAGTTGCTGGAATTTTTGGTAAGCGTGCTTGGTTGGTGCGAGTGGGAGTGGAAGGCTGCCTCAAAGGCTCTGTCGGGATCAGTCTGAGTGCAGACACGAGCCAGTGTCCCGTCGGAGTCCGGAAACGCTGGAGGTGGGGTAGGGGGCTGGGGAGCTGTAGCCTGCCCCAGGAGGACAGCACCGAGAGCCTTGCGGTTTAGCCAAGGCATTGCCAAAAAACAAAAAGCCGTTGAAAGGTGAAGGAGGGTTGCTGAGGCTTCGCATTATTGGAATGATTTTTTTTTTCTCTCCCTCTCCGTAAGTGCCTAAAATTTACCCTCCTCCTCCCTCCCTCCTCCTTTTTTGGCTGTCTTGAAACTTAGGTGGAGGGTTTAGGAGGTTAGGGAGCTTGGGCAGTGAGAGGGAGGGATGAGGTCTCCCTGGCGGGGTTTTGCTGGTCAGGTTTGATCTCTTCCCACCAGCACATTAATAATCCTGCTAATATTAGCATCCCCTACTCTGGCAGAGTCCAGACCACAGCCCTCATCCTCCACCCTTCCTCTCCCGGGAGCGGCCACACACACACACACACACACACACACTCTCTCTCTCTCTCTCTCTCTCTCTCTCTCTCTCGAGGTTCTCCGCCCCCTCCAGAGATGGGCACTTTTGATAAAGTGGGAAAGGGGACTTGTGGCCTCAGGGCACCTTTGTCAAACAAGCATTCAGAAAGACTTTTTCCCGTTTATAACCAGGATGTTGAGAAATTCGTCCTGATCTGCCGCCCCTTTCCTACGAAAATGCCCCATCACGGATTTCTTTTCAATGTGTGACTCTTGTTAAACTTTCAGAAAGAGCCTAGGGGTAGGATGTCTTCGCTCTGTCCAGTGTCTCTGGATTTCCTGCAGAAGTGAACGATTTTTTTTTCCTCTTGGGCAAGAACTTATTAAGTCTATTTGTAAAAGAAACCAGACACATCTGTGCCCTCACAGATCTGCAGGAAGATTATGGGGGCTGCATAATCGGCCCTCTGTCTGTGGCAGCCCCGGACCACTTGCTGCTGAATTGAAGGAGCCCAGTTCGCTTGTGGGTCTTTGAACTTTGGAGCCCTGGGTTAGCGTCTTCCCTACCCATGCGTCTGGCCTCTGTGGGCGCTCCAACGGACGCTGAAGCCTCGTGGGTCACAGCCCTCGAACCCCAAGGAGGGGCTGGTCATGATCACCCCAGAAAGGCGAGAGAGCACAGGGTGGGCATACAAACATGTCCCGGTGAAGCAGAAAACGCTGTAAGGGCAACATCCAGGAAGCCCGGAAGGGAACTGGGCTGTCTAACACCCTTCACACAAACCCTCAAGAACCCGAACGAAAACAGTAGGGAATGAATTTGAAACTGACTACCTGGCCTTTCCATGATTTGGGGGAGGGGCATATGTCTCTGGGTCTTGTGAAGCTAAGTTGGTGACATGGGGAACGGTGAAGAGTGCCTGGTAAGAAACTCCAGGACTGAATTTGAGGGTCCTGCAAAACCGCCATTGTTTGCCGATAAGCTATAACCGGTTCTGTTTTGATTATTTAGAGAAAGAAGTGGCCGAGCCCGAGGTGAGAATGGTGAATGGCAAGCCAAAGAAAGTTCGTAAACCCAGGACTATTTATTCCAGCTTTCAGCTGGCCGCATTACAGAGAAGGTTTCAGAAGACTCAGTACCTCGCCCTGCCGGAACGCGCCGAGCTGGCCGCCTCGCTGGGACTGACGCAAACACAGGTAAATCAGGCCGCGGCGCCCCGCCTGGGCTGCATGCCTGGCCAGGCCACGAGGTTCCGTCCCCGAGGGCTGGAGCCGATCGGGCAGCACCTGCGGGAAAGTCACAGAAAACCACCTTGTGCCCTTCCCTTCATAAGTCAGACGCGGTGTCGCCGCCATGCGACGTGGGAGCGGGATGGAGATGTCGATCATCCCGAAATGTCCCAGCTTCTAGCTTCTGGGGGCGACGGGAAAACTTCTAAAATTGGAAACAAGTGGGAGGGTTATTTCTAGGACGCTCTCGCTTGGAGAAATTGTCTAGTGTTCTGCACAATGCAGCGCCACTCGGGCCAGCAGGGCCCGTAGGCCTCGTGAAAGTCTCAGGCCGAGTGAAGGCGGAGGACGTCGCCTCGGGGCGGAAAAGCCGTGGGGTCACTTCATGCTGCGGAGCCGCAGCAGCACGAGGGGCGCGAGACGGGGGCGCTGTTGTATGGGGAACTGTTCCTTTGGAGGGTCCCATTCCCTTTACTCCCGCTCCAACCCCTACAGAAGAATAAAGAATGTTCGAGTCACCGCCCCGAGCTGCAGGCGCATTCTGACCTTACTCTGGAGCTGAGGAGGGGGTGAAGGGAGTGGGGAGGGGTTATTGGGCGGTTAAGGCTCGACCTGCTTGAACTCGCGATCGCAGTCCCCTCTCCTCGCGCGCTGGGCTCTGGCCATTGTTTGGAGACTTTGGTGGCGCTGCGTTTGGTGCGCGCTGCGTAGGCCTAGGCTTGTGTGCAAGCCCGGGGGACACTCGCCCCCACCCCCGCCCCTTGCCTCCAGCCTAAACAAAAGACAACAGCTTCAGGGTCGTGCCCTCCCAGCGGCTGGGGCTCCCGGATCCCTCTAGGGCGTCCTCTGGGACCCGGAGATCCAGGCCCTGCCTCAGGCCCAGTCCCTTGCCTGTAGGCTGGGAGCTTCGGGGAGACGCCAGGGCCAGGCCGCGGGGGGCCGAAGATGCCTCTGAGTGTCCTGGTAACGTATGCCTTTGTTCCCCTACCCAGGTGAAAATCTGGTTTCAGAACAAAAGATCCAAGATCAAGAAGATCATGAAAAACGGGGAGATGCCCCCGGAGCACAGCCCCAGCTCCAGCGACCCCATGGCGTGTAACTCGCCGCAGTCTCCGGCGGTGTGGGAGCCCCAGGGCTCGTCCCGCTCGCTCAGCCACCACCCTCATGCCCACCCTCCGACCTCCAACCAGTCCCCTGCGTCCAGCTACCTGGAGAACTCGGCTTCCTGGTACCCTAGCGCAGCCAGCTCAATCAATTCCCACCTGCCGCCGCCTGGCTCCTTACAGCACCCGCTGGCGCTGGCCTCTGCCACACTCTATTAGGCTGGCCGCTTTCTCCTGCCCTCTTTTTTGGGACTACTGTGTTTCGATGTTTTAGAAAATCATAAAGAAAGGAATTCTTATGGGAAAACTTGGAAAACGGAAACAAAAAAGATTCATGTGTAAAGCTTTTTTTTTTGCATGTAAGTTATTGCATTTCAAAGGACCCCCGTCCTCGCCTTTTTTACAGACACTTTTTTGCGCAACTGTGGACACTATCAATGGTGCCTTGAAATCTATGACCTCAACTTTTCAAAAGACTTTTTTCAATGTTGTTTTAACCATGTAAATAAGTGTAGATAGAGGAGTTAAACTGTATATTCTGGATAAATAAAATTATTTCGACCATGAAAGCAAAATGATTCTTAAAAATACTTCTTTGCCCCCTTATAATGGGCTGGTGACGTTTACCCAGGCAAGGACAGGAAGACAAGGTTTGCAGAGACCCAAAAAGGTGAAAAGGAAAACAGATTGGCAGCTGCATAGATGCAGAACTTTCTACGATACCCGCTGGATGCTGCTTTATATGTCTATATGTATATGTGGCCTGTTTATATAGATTTAGGTGTGGGTGTGTGTGTGTTTTGCCTAACCACAAAAACGTTTAGATAATTTTAAGTTTAACCCCAAATTGTTTCAGGTAGAATGTAATGATGGAATCTAAACAGGGCCCTCCTACCCTGTGTGTAAGTAAGAAAGAAGCAGAAATCCCTCAATAACGACTCTGAATTCTAAGCTCAAAGCAATTATGGTGGAGAGCTGCCCAACTGCCGCCTCCCCCCCCCAGCCTCTGTGTATTGCTAGTGCAATTAGACAAATTACACTCCCTTCAAAGGGAGCTTCCAGAGATGAGAAAATGAAAAAAAAAAGGAAGAAAAAGAAATTTCCCCTCCTATTATATTTTTTAAAAATCTGAAATGCTTGCAGCATAGCAAATGGTAGTGCCTTGCACTCTTTGGTGTAGATTATAAATTCATCTGAGCTCTGTTCAGAAAGGAGGAAGGATCACAGGACTTGAAAACAATGATGGGCCTAAGTCAGCAGGCCCAATAGAGTGTGTGGGGGACATTATACCTCTGCCAAGAGAAAATTGTGGGATGGAGGAAAGAAGTGAAAGCATTATGGTCCCGTCTTGATTTCCTTTCCATATGAGATAATCTAAATACATACATGTATATCTTTTCTTTCCATTCTCTTTAACCACTCTGGGTTTTTTGTTTTTGGGGTTATTTTTTGTTTGTTTTTTTGTTTTTTTTTAGTAAGGAGCTCCTTCTGCTTTGCTTTTAATGTAAAACAGTGGCAAAAGCAGGATCCAAACTATGGGAAATTGAATCTGTTTGCAGAAATTTCTCCCTTGTGAAGGCTTCTTTGGGGTGGAGAGGACTTGCTGCAGCCTTGGCCTGAGGCCCGCCCTTCTCCCCAAACCCTGCATATGGACATCGACGGTGTCACGGGAGCTACAGCCAGGAACTGCATCTGTGCTCCCGGCACTGAATCGTGGGGGTGTTTTCCACTGTCGTTTCATTCCTCTGCCTCTGTTTCCTTGAGATGCCAAGGGAAATAGTGTGTTGGAAATTACAAGATGCAGGAGATGTGTTTTACAGCTAGGAAGTTGGCAGCAATAAATGTGACAAAACGAGCCTTCTTAAAAGGGGGGTGGTTGGAAATTAGAACATAAAAAATTGTAACCTGTCATGTGAGGATTTCTGAGAAGGCTCTTCCAGGCTTAGAGGAGACCTGAAAAAGTGAGCAAGCTGTGTGTCCAGCAGGGAATTTACCTGTGTATTTGCCTTTGCTCTCTCTCTCTCTTCTTTCTCTCCCTTCTCCTTTCCTCATTTCCCCATCTCCTCAATTCCTTCTTTTTCTTCCCCTTTCCCTCCCAGCCTGCCAGTTTGGACAGACTGGGGCCCTAGGGGGATCCAGAATTTTGGCGGGTCTTTAGGCAACACCCTACCTGATCTCTGGTCGACTTACCGACCAGCCCAGTGGTGAGGTCCCCCTCCCCCTTTCCCAGTCCTAAAGCCCGAGCGGTCGTGTCTTTTTCCAAAGGGGTCCCCCGACCCCCAACCCTTGGCAATTTCTTCCCAGCTGTCCTTTCTCCAAAGAAGTTCTGGGTAGCGACGGGCTTGGGGTTGGGGGGGGAGCAACACGAAGCCCCACTTTGTTTTGTGCGCAGGCAAAGACCAGGGGGATGAGGGGAAGAAGTGGAGGGATCTATTTCCTGCTTTTCTTTCTTTGCTTGGAAGGATTTCGGGAGTTTCCATTACACGCAAAGCCAGAGCTTTCTATCTAGGGAATCCGGCGGGGAGAAATCCTGCGACCGCGTTTCGCAAGGGTCAGCCTTCCCCTCCGCCCGGCGCCTCTCCGCCCCGCGCCCCGCGGGGTGCCCGTTTGGGAAAGTTGGAAGGGGCGCGCCCACTGTACATCTCTAACATTTCCGACCTGCTGGCTGCTGGAGAGTGTGCTCGGAGCACGCTCTCTCCCTTTCCGCATGCAGAGAGCGCGGATATTGTTCCAGCCGCCGTGTGATCCCCTACCTTCATTCCTGGCTCTGAAAAGGGGACCCCTTCATATCACCCTAAATCACCCGGTGCAGTCCAGCGGAGGGAACGGCTAGTTTAGACTCTTCCCAGGGAAGGACAGAGAAACTTCTTTAACGACCATCCTTCCACCCCCCAGCTTGACGCTGCTTGTTGTTGAGGACACTAAAGCCTCGTTGCGACGCAGGCAAGCAGAACGCCACGCGCAGGCTTGGCGTCAGGTTCCCTTCCCTTGTGCTAACTTCACTTCTTCCACTCGCAATGGCCTCTTCTCTCGCGCGGTTTTTTTTTTTTTTTAACTTGGTCAGAGAGTCGTGGACAAAAATATTCTGCCAAACCAGTCTGCAGCGGGTTTTCCCTGGCACCATGGGGATTCTCCCGGGGGAATTTAACTCCCTGCAGCCCTGCGTTCAAGGATGTAAAAATAACAGATCCTCAGCAAAGTCTAAAAATATCTGTGTGATGTTCCTCTCCCTTGCACTCCCCCACCCTCCCTCTTTCTCTCCATTGTTTATTTCCATATCTAATATAAACGCACACCAATTCCCAGCATATTCCTTGGTCTGCCGACCCGACTTTCCCGGACCTCTGCCTGCCTCTTCCGGTGCCCACTCGCCCAGCTCTTAGTCTAGTGCTCCCGAGATGTTCAGCCCACTCCAAAAGTTCATTTTCTTTTTCATGTGCTTCGCACACTCCCACACTCCCAAACCCCGTCTCATCTTCAGACCCCCTCACAAAGCCCAAAAAAGCCCAAGGGTCTCAGAATATCCTGCCCCCCCCCCCCGCCCCGGGCTCTCCTGTAAAAGATCAGATAAGTCAGCCTTTGTTTGAGGCTAAGCAGATTTCTGCCCCCCTTTTTTTCCTGGCGGCCACCTCCTTGTGGAACAGGGGGCGGCCTGGGCAGCCGGGAGAAGCCGCATTCCTGTGGGTGCCAGGCGGCTCCAGTGCTGAGCCACAGGGCCTGAGACACACACAGAGGAACCCGCAGACCTCGATGCCCTTGATCTCTCTCTCTCTCCCCCTCTCGTTGGGTCTCCCACCCGGGAGCCTTTCCACCCACACTCTGATCCACCCAGGTCTCGGCCTCGGACAGGAGCGTGCTGACCCGCGCACCGACACACGCACACACCCTCTCCCGGTGCCGTAGGCCAGGCCAGGATCTCCCCGCCTGTGTCAATCTTCTGTTTCCCGCCCCTTATCCCACAATCCAAGACGCGCCGGCTGGCCTCCTTTGGCTCCTTTGATCCCACCGGACGCCCCACAGCTCGCAGAGACCCGGCCCCGCCGTCCTGGGAGTCGCCCACAGCGCGCCAAGCGCAGGCCGCGCTCCCCTCCTCCGGGCGCGCCCTCAGGCTTTACTCCAGGGTTGACACCAATCGGTCTCCAGAGCTCCCCAGCCCGAAGCGCAAGGGATGCCTCCTGGAACACTGCCTCCTGCCCTCTACCCTCCACCCTGAGCTTTCTTTTATTCTAGGAGAGGGACTTTTAGGGCTACCCAACCATCACCGCCCTTCCCGCCCCATCCCTGTAACCCCTGGGATCTCGCCAACCCCCAACTCTCCAGCCCTCCCCGAGGCACGCCTTGAGGGCAGTCGCCCTCCCGCACTTCTGGGAAGCGCGCCACGCCGGCGGATCCGCCTGCGGTCACCCCTCTCCTCCACCCTTAAGCACCCCCTCCCACGCCGCTGGGTGGAGGTTCCCGCCTCCCGGGATCGTGGGGAGGGGGGCTCTGCTGCTCGCTCCAACCCTCCGCACGCGTTCCCAGGTAGCCCGCGGTCTTTTCGCACTGTGCTTGTTTTTTTAAGAGTCACAGCGAACTCTGGGCCTCCAAAACAACCCAGATAGCAGTAGCACCTACGGGATTGGCTATTTTTCCACGCAGCCCTGCCCCCCACCCCAGCCCTATCCGTGTTTTCTTTTGCATTTGACAAACTTGAAGTTCCCTCGCGGCAATGGGCAGAAAGCATAGGTCGATTCTGCTGCAGGAGGGGCTGGAGTGACAAGCGGGGGGAGCCTTCCCTTTCAAGCACCCAGGGTTGCCGGCTGTAATGCAATAACCTGTTTTATAGGTCGAGCTCTAACCGTGAAGATAGGAACCGGGGGCATTTACATGAATCTCTCTTTAAAGGAGCCGGGAGCCCTGTTTTGCAGCAATTAAATGTTTCTGCTCTTTTGTTCGCTGGGACTTCATATTACTTCTGATTTATGGGGATCCAAAGGAGTCTCTTTGCCAAAAGCGCATGTATTATTGAGTCTGTTCCACATCCTAAACCAAGATTTATATAAAACCGTGAAATACCACACATTACGACCTTTCGCCACAGGAAGGAAAAAACGGCTCATAACATCATTCTCTCTCTCTCTCTTTCTCTCTCTCCAAGTTCGGTAATCATTTTCTCTGTCAAATCTCCACTATACAGAGTTTAGTGTATTTTTTTTTTAAGTCAGTGTGGATGGAGGGCAGTAAGCAGTTCACAAACTCTGATTTGTTTTAAGGCCTTTTTTTTTTCCTTGCAAAGGCGAGAAGACAGAAATCTG